CAGATCAAGAGGGCCCGTCCTCACATGGGGAAGAAACAAAACAAAAACTCACTACATGCTGGCCTTGACTTTGCTTTGCTATTCTGCTTCACTGTGGATATTTTCAGTGTTGTGAAACACTCATCGATCTTTAGGCTACAGTAAGTGAGTGACATCTCTGTCACTGATGGAGTCGGGAACTATCACAGGATGTGAAGTAGTGCGAGGTCATTTGAGGTTCAGAATCAAAGGTCTTACTGAGCAAGGCAGGCTTCATAACTCTAGCAGATGGCTGAAGAGTACCTAGAAACTGAGGTAACTGTAAAATTAGAAACTACATAATTTATAATGTTTTCCTATGTCAAGACCATCTTGTCAGGTCCACAGATTCCGAGGTCCTTGGAAAAATGTAGTTATGATGGTTCCTTCATGTTCTGCCTCCCTGCCCCCTATCAGTGCTTGAATGGTTCTCCACAAACTATTTGTGTTCACGAAGTAAATGGTGCATTCACTGCCTAGAAATACTTGGGCACTTTTAGGAGGCATGATGAATTTTTTATTTAGCATAGCAGTAATGAATTAAATAGGACCCCAGTGGACTCAAAGAGTTCACGCCTCTCCCTAAGTGCCCACGTTATATAACACCACAGCTTAAGCGCGTCTCCAATGTTTAAGACCAATAATGTCGTCATCTGCCAAGGGGGGTTTATGACCTAGTTAAACTAATTACTTCTTATAAAATAAGCCCTCTGATACTATATGGTGGTTCTACACAAGCTATTAAGTTTCTTATTGAAAAGAGATACTATATGTAAAGGATATAGCATACTCAAACCAGCTGCACAGAGTCAATCCCGACTCACGGTGATGCAATGTGTATCAAAGTAGAACTGTGCTCCACAGGATTTTCAATGGCTGATTTTTTTGGAAGTAGATCACCAGACCTTTCTTCCAAGGCACTATGGGGTGAACCTGAACCTCCAAGCTTTCGGTTAGCAGCTGAACCTCCAACCTTTCAGTTAGCTGCTGAGTGAATTAATGATTTGCACCACTCAGGGACTCCACAGCACATTCCAGGCCCTCATAAATGTTAGCTCTCTTCTTTTGTTTATTTTAGTATTTACTTTCATTTATTTTAATATGTACATGTACTAAAAACAATTTTAGTGAATAAGATGATGTAACATTTCCAAATGACCTAGTATCCCTTTTCCTCTCAGAACTGAGATGAAACCGCCTCCTCCAAACTCCTCACGCTACAGTGTAGAGTCTATATTCTCTTCCATCGTTTCATTTTCCCTTAAAGTAATGTCCATAGAACAGAGAGTTTTTAACAAAATGCAAGTTCTAGGCTTTACCCACATTTGTAGTCTAATGATAACTAAAACCATAAAAAAAAATTTGTACCACTATTTTCTAAAAGAAAGAAGATGAGAATAAGTGTGCAAAACACTGCATGTTTCTGTGGGATCTGAGGGGTAGGAGAATGCTATTGGGATCTATAAATGAAAAGGAAGGGCTCCCATGTCAGCAGCTACAGAAGAGTGCGGCTAAGTGGATATTTAAAAACAGCAGCTCTCAGGAACAGTTTCCACCTACCAGCACTAGCACTTTCAGTAGTAATGGAGAGCCGAGATGCCCATAGTTCATGACCCAGGAAGTCTACTAGCCAAAAAACAGGACAGAGGCTTCCACTGACTTCTAGGGCAGTGCTACTCAAAGTGACGTCAGAGGTCCAGTGCCAGACCACAGACTCTTAACGGTCTACACACGCGATTAGGCTTTTAGAAATTTTCATAGTAGTGTGATAGGCTATTATGTATGTTGAAACTACCTTCTAACAAATAGGGTTTGGATTTTCTATGACTTCTTTTATTTCATTTTTCTGGTAATTTATTTTTTGTTGTATCAGTCAACAACAGACTGGAAGGGAGGAAGGCCTAGTGCTTTACCATGGAAAGTTTGAGAAGCTCTGCTCTAAGAAGCCTATCGTAACCTCCTCCAGTTTTCTGTCTGAAGCAGCAATTAATGTGTGTGCTGTAAATAAAATGGCCCTAACAGAGGAAAAGGCAAAAAGGCCCAAGAAGCAGCTGTCCATTCTCTAGCTTATGACAGATGGCAAAGAAACCCCAGGAAGGTCTCAATACAGGAAAAATGACAAGTAGAAAAAGGTTTTATATAGCGAATGGGGCATTAAAACCAGTAGGACAAGTTATTGAGTGGAAAAAATATCCAGAAAAGAGAAAACTAAAGAAATGAAGAATGAACTCCATGCTACTAGATTTCTACCAGAGGAATGGAGTGTTTTTGCTGTTGTTTTTCCCCGAAAAGGATGAATACCAACCCTCTGAAATAGTACCAGCAACCTCCACTCCATTTCTCAGTAAGGAAGGTACATGAGCCCACCAGGAAATGGAATCTCGAATCAGAAGGAAGTGGTGCAGTTAACTACTCTCTGAGGAGGAAGAGGTCATATATTGACATGGCTAATTAATGGGTGTTGTCTTAGTCATCTAGTGCTGCTCTAACAGAAATACCACAAGTGGATGGCTTTAACACAGAGAAATTTATTCTCTTATAGTCTAGTAGGCTACAAGTCCAAATTCAGGGCATCAGCTCCAGGGGAAGGCTTTCTCTGTCGGCTCTAGAGGAAGGTCTGTTTCATCAATCTTCTCTTGGTCTGGGAGCTTCTCTGCGCAGGAACCTCAGGTCCGAAGGATGCGCTCTGCTCCCGGCACTGCTTTCTTGACGGTATGAGGTTCCCATGTGTCTCTGCTCACTTTTCTCTTTTATATCTCAAAAGAGATTGGCTTAAGACACTATCCAATCTTGTATACCTCATCAGTATAACTGCCACTAATCCATCTTATTAGATCATAATGACTGAATTGACAACACATAAGGAAATCACATCAGATTACACAGTCATACAATACTGGGAATCATGACCTAGCCAAGTTGACAGATATTTTGGGGGGACACAATTCAATCCATGACAGGTGTACTGTCTTCTTGGAATTTGTTTCACAGGAGATGAAGAATTGGCCAAGACCAGTCAAACCAGTGACCACAACCCACTTCTGCTGACTCACTTAGGAACAAATTGATACAATCAAAATACCATAAAAAATACATCTTTAGTCATGATGAAGGTTAAGTAAAACACTAAAGAACACTAAAAGATTCAACATGTAGGTTTAAAATAATTTTGTTGAATTATACTAGATTGAGAAGATTTGACTTAACAGAAGTTCACGTGCAAAAAAATCTACAATATCTTGCTTGATGAGAAGAAAAATATAAGTCAATACATGTGTATTAAGAGGGGTAATAGTCCCACCATAACCAGGACTACATACTCTGTTTAGCTTTCGGCGTGCGGTTTTATGAAGTATATTGACAAATTAGCATGTCACTAGCATTAGGTCGTATCATATGACCCTAACAGTGAAGGACTTTGGAACGAGATCTGATCCTTTTCTTATATGCTCTTATAAGCACCCTGTACTTTTCCTTCACTACATTTAATATTATGTATATAATTTGTATGTATACATGCATGCATGTCATGTATATGTATAGTAGAAAGCTACTGTTCATCTCCTCTACTAGAGGGTACACTGATAAAGGAAGGGCAGGAATGGTATCTGGCTCCCCAATGTATCACTAGCACCTAGTATAGTACCTTTCACCCAGTAGGTACTCAGCAATTATTTCCTGGATGAATGAGTAAATGAATGTAAATCACATGAGAAATTTTTGGAAGAAAAGGGATTTTTAGCCCTAGGGAGCTATCATGGTGATCTTCAAACAACTGGGTGGTTATCTTGTAAAAGAGAAAGCAGACTAAGTTGGTAAGCTTCCAGATGGCAGAGTTAGAACCCAAGAGTGCAGGTGAAATTCATCTCTAGGTAAGGTAGAACTTTTGTTAGCTGTATCTGTACAACAAATTCAACAGGCAGTGTTACAAAGTGGTGAGCCTTCATCACTACCAAAAAAAGAAAGGAGTTTGGCTATCCTGTGGAAATACTAGACTGTCTCTAACTAAAATTCTTTCCAACTATATAAGTCTATGGTTTCTGTTACTTATGATTCCTGCGTGCCAGTCCGTTTCCATCCATCCGGAGCCTAGACCCTGCCCAACCCTGCAAAGAAATGGAGCACTGTGTTTCCAAAGAGCACTAGGAAAGGAGTTGGACACACCTATCTTGTCACTATTTCTTAAGCTACATTGGGAGGAAGAGAGGACGTACTCCTAAAAAAAAAAAAAGTGGAGGAAGGAACAGGTGTAGAAACAAAAATCATTTCAAGGCAGATGTGTAAAACAAAAATATTTTGTAGATGAAACCATTACAAAAATACCATCTCCCTCATCATCCTCCTCTTCCATCTCTGCATCTGTCCCATCAAAGAAACTCAATGACAGCCGTGGTTTTAACCTCTCCAGCTGGACTCAGAGAATGAAGCTCTTTTGAATTTTTTCCAGGTAGCCGGGCACCATGCGTAAAATCACTTTCTCAAGACCATCAATCATACAAACTGCTTGCATTAAAAACACAAGAAAAAAGCATAGCCTCTCCCCTCACCAACTAGGGGTTTGTTTTATGTGTGAGTTTGTTTTACATGTGAGTGATTTGGGACTCCTTGGGAAAGTGGTTTAACTCTGTAAGCACACAAAGGCCTTGGTGTCTTGGACAAAGGGTAAAAGACCTTGAAGTACCCAGGGACTGCACTAGAAAGGTGTAGAATACAGTCCTAGGCTCCTGAATAGGTTGGAACCTCTTTGATAAGCGTCTTGTTGCTTCATGTAAGAGACAGAAATCCTTCCCAGCTAACACTCCTTCCATGATTCTAATCACAGAAGGTATCTCCTAGGAGAAAATTTCACTGTGGCCCTGTGACACTTCATGCTAGTGAGGGCCCCCCTGCCCTCTTTGCTATAGTCATTCTGTGCATCATTTACCTTCTACATGGGGTGAGGAGTGGGGAGGAGGAAGCAAGGTTGCTAGTGGAGGCCTTACCTGTTTTTCCTGCTCCACTTTCTCCAGTAATGAGAATACATTGGTCTTTATCTTGATCTCGTAGGGATCGATATGCTTCATCTGACAGGGCAAAGCTGCAGGGGATAAGGGGCGGAAAGTCCTTAAAATTCAGATCATTATTATATATTTATCAGATGTAACCACTGGTTCTTTAAAGGGCAACTCTGATATGCTTCAGAGACTAAGCTGAGGATCACATTTTATTTCCTTCAAACTCTTAAAATAAATCAATCAATTCATCCTCGTGGCATATGCTACTTTTCCCATATGCATTCTCTAGTAACCAATATGACACTGATTTGCTGTTGATATACTTTATTGAACCCATATGTTATGCTTGTGACTCATCTTATTAAAGTCCAGGCAATTCAGAGAGCCAAGGAGAAAATGCTATATCACAAGTCGACACCTGGAAAATGTTCAGATTTTCAGGACAATACCTATCAATACACCAAAGTTTCAAAACAACCAGGAAAACAATCTTTTCAGACATTAGAAAAATGCTATAAAATACCAAACAGTTGGTCTTATCAGAACTAAGCTAAATATACAACGACTGTCTTTACAACAAATGATTGAAACTGTAAGGTCCCCCAGAGGCATAATGGTACTGTGGGTTTGTCGTGGTTCTTCTCTAGTCCCAGGCCCCCAAACTTCTACCCCGCTCTATGATGACAAAGGGTCCCGTATCAACTAAGGACAGGCCAGTCCTCGTGTTGACCTTTACATCCTCAAAATTTAGTAAGGTAAATTTTATCCCCTCCAACTAACTAAAAAAATAATTTTGATAATGTGTTTAACATACGTAAAGGTCCTCTTCTAATTCATTAATCAACAAGGAATTGTTGAGAGTCTACCATGTGTCAAGAACTGTGGTAAATGCAGAGATCATTAAGACTTAGCTCCTTCTTTCGTGAGATCTCAGTCAAAAGGAGGGGAGAGAGACACAGAGAAAACGGCAACCCAAAAATGATAAAAACAAAAACAAAAAAAAACCATGTGGAAGACATTGCAGAACAAGAAAAGGACCTCAAGGAAGTAAGCACTAGAATTAGAGAATCTATAAAAACCAAACCCACTGCGGTTGAGTCAATTCCGACTCATAGTGGCCCTATAGGACAGAGGAGAACTGCCCCACTGGATTTCTAAAGCTATAAATCTTTATAGAAGCAAACTGCTGCATTATTCTCCCAAGGAGCAGCTGGTGGGTTCGAACCGCTGACCGTTCCGTTAGCAGCAGAGCTGTTTAACCACTGCTACACCAGGGCTCTGTGCAAGAGGTGGAAAAACCAGTCCTAAAGAATGAGTTAGCAAGACAAAGGCCATTTAAGGCAGAGGCCAAAACACTATGGAGGTGAGGATGAGGGGCTATGACAGTTTCATATTGCTAAAAGGCAGAGCATAAGGAAGGGAAAGGGAAGGATGAGCAAGGAGCTACAGAGATAGATTGGCAGGCTTCAAATTAAGAAGACAACAGCTATGGAGCCACACTGCAGGTCTTTAAGCATTGGAGAGTGGCATGATCAGATAGTAATCATAGCTAATAACAGCAACATTTACTATATATCATCACTGTCCCCAAGCCCTTTATATTTAAGCATTTTAAATTTCACAACTACAAAGAAGAAACTATGATTAATCCCGCTTACAGAGGGTGAGATTGTGGCACAAAGAGAAGTCGTAACTTGACGAGATCACACTGCCTGTGTAAAACGGTGGAGCCAGAACTGACCCATTCTTGCTCACTGAGATGGATATACTGTCTCTGCATTTTGGACAGCTCATGGACAACACGAGAGAACAGTGTGGGGCAGGGAGACTGTGAGGGGCTGGGGTACAGGAAGTGCTTAAATTTGACCGAAGAGACCACAAACCAAAAAAACCAAACCTATTGCTGTCGAGTTGATTCCGACTCATAGCAACCCTATTAGGGTAGCGCAGAACTGCCCCACAGGGTTTCCAAGGAGCAGCTGGTGGATTCGAACTGCCAACCTTTGGTTAGCAGCTGTGCTCGCTGTAGCGCTTAACCACTGTGCCACCAGGGCTCCCAAAGAGATCACAGAGGAACTTATACGCTAATCAAAAACTGCTTTTCTTCAAAAGATGTGTGGAGACATTAACATTCACAATTTACTGACCACCTTCAATGTCCTGTCATATTTATAATCACATTCAATCCTCAGTGCAGCTCTGCGAAGTAAACGTTAGCCTCTTCAGGGTCGATATGAGTCAGAACCGACTCAACGGCAACAGGTTTTGGTTTCCTAAGAGGCAGCATGAGTTGCCCGCAATTCCAGAAACATCGTAATTTGAATCCAGAAATACTCTGTATTGCGCTCTTCCCCCTCTCATCATGTTCTCCTACAATTATTTGTGAATGTACCTTCTCTACTGGTTGGACTACTGTGAGATCCTCAAGTGGACCACCCTACAGAAGACTATCAAAACTCTCACATCAACGGATCCAGTGCCTTACATATAATACCAAAAAAATCAAACCAGTTGCTGTCGAGTTGATTCCAACCTACTGTGACCTCATGTGTTTCAGAGTAGAACTGCACTCCATAAGGTTTTCATGGCTGTGCTCTTTTGGAAATACATTGCCAGGCCTTTCTTCTGAGGGGCCTCTGGGGGGACTCTAACTGCCAATCTTTCTGTTAGTAGCCGAGCCTTTTAACGGTCTGTGCCACCCAGGGACTCCTTCAAAGTAGAACTATGCTCCATAGGGTTTTCAATGGCTGTGATCTTAATAGGTATGCTCTAAATGCATTTGTTGAACGAATGTATGGATAAAAGACAGAAAGAAAAAAACGAAAAAATCTAGCACGAGTTTTTTTTCGAGTCTTTAACTTGTTAATAGGAAGGATGTACGCTGATCGCTTTCTGCCTGGCAGGTCTTCCTCTCCTCAAATCTCTTTCAGCCATTCTCTACATAACCACAGCCCTGCTCACCCTCCAAGGCGGCTCAGCAGTCTCAGGCTTCATGTTCTCTGATTCCTCGAGGTGAAGGCAAGCTTCCCCCCAGTACACCATTGCACAATGGGGGTAGTGGAAAGAGCAGTGAGTACAGAGGCAGAAAACATCCTGGATGTGATGTCCTGAGCCCCAGATACACAACTCACCACCTACGTGACCTTGAGAAAGTCATTCACCCTGGCTGAAATTGGGTTTCTTCATCTACAAATTGGGGAATGTAGCTACATACCTATCTTAAAGGATTAAAGCTTATAAATGTGCTTTGAAAGTTATAAAGCCCTGTATAAATGTCAGAAATCTTTCTATACTGCATTATGATTAGTTATGCACATGTCTTCTTATCCCTATGTAAGCTCCTTTAGGGTGAAGCCTTTCTAATTAACCTTCGTGCCATCCACAGGGCTATAAAGACAGAGATAATCAACAGCAAATTAGGAATAAATGAATGAATGAATGAGTGGATTTTCCCCAAGAACTGACAAAGTCAGTACTGGAGTGAGCTCCATGAAGCATGGCAGATATTAGGAAATTCATTTCTTTTATGGCTGTCATGCAGGAAGGAGAGTATAGCTTAGATTTGTTATTAGGCTTCCCCCCTCCCACTTTTCCTACCTCCAGATAATAGCTCAGAGATGCCACTATCATTATTATCATTGACAAGAAACCCAGGAAGTGCATTATGCCAAACACAAATTAACTCTTCCAACCATACATATTTACTGAACTCTTCATAGACTGTTTAATACAAGTCTCTTTCCCATGCTCCCAGGATTGCAACTGAGCTTTATATTTGCCCTATTCCTAGATCCGAAATGATACACAATTACTTCTAACATGCAGAATCATCTATGACAATTACAAACACACAAACACACACACATACGAGACTTTAGATGATCACTAAATAACCCTGCTGTTTAATTCCAGTCAAAACATCTAAGTCGAACACTTCTTTTTTCTTGTCTATCTAGATAGAAATAGTTAGCTGCTGTCCCCAGTGACTGGGCTTCGTTCATCTAATGGACGGTAGAATCTTAATACAAAATAGAGGCTTAAAAGACAGCCACTGACTTCAAGTCGATGTGTCCTGAAAATTTACCAATTCAAGTACTTAAGCACTGGGAAAACTGGCCTTGTACTACTGGCACACTCATCTCAAGCAGAGTATAAATTTCATCATGCTTACATCAAACACAGACCCGGATTCCACTTAAAAAAAAAAAAAAAGACAATAAAAAAGGGCCCTGGAGAACACAAACCACGCTCCCAATCTTGTTCCTCTTTCTCTCTGGCAATATCAGCACGTACCCATCACCAAGGCCAGCATTTGTAACTATAAACTAAAACCACATGCCAGTCTTCCAAACCACTCTATAATTAAGGAAACTAAATAAATCTTTAGAGAACTTTTTAGTTAAAAACAGTTGTGACCCATATGCTTTGCATTATTTTGTGAGCGTGTCAGCATTGTTATTTACCACACACAAAAATGAATGGCTTATTATAATGATGCTAACATAAGGGGTAAGCATGTTTTTTGTCCCACCACATCAAGAGCATGCTTTTATCCACTTCTCCTGTCCTCTAGTTGAGCTCTAAGAATAGGGACTGACTGGCATTTAAATGTAGTCCCCCACTTCATTTCCAGACCAGCTAAACGGCTGTTCACTTGAGCCAAGCTTTCCCCAACACCAAGTATGTTCACTGCATGCTTCCAAACAGCTGTATCTATCGCTTTTAGGTTTTAGAAGTTTGGTTGGAGGCTCATCTGTTATTTTCTGTCAGGGTGGAATGTTGGGTTGCATGCTGAAAATCGTCTAGCTGGTATTTATGTTCCCCCTCTATCTTATTTCTGTTCAGAATGTTAATCTCCGCAGTGGTTCTGCTTTCCTGGTCATCAGAGGCACTGGCAGAGCTTCTTTTCCCAAAACTCCATGCTCTCCCCGCTGCCATTTTCTTTCTAAGTTTGCTTCAACTAAAACGCAAAGTAGAAAAGCTGTTTGTAACACACAAATATATCACCATCACCTAAATCTTTGCTCTTCCAAGCATACCCCTACTTTTCAGCCTCCCTGGCTCTTCCCTAATCAATTACCTG